TAGTGCCGTTGTCGGAGACTGTTAATTGCAACAGGGCAACACTTTGTGCAACATTTATTTTTATTAGTTTATTTTAATTTTAGTTTTTATTACTTTTTGTTTGTTTTCCTGTTTATCATAGTGCTACTAAGGTATTTTCTCCCTGTGTATGCGCAGTTTAGGATATGTATTACTACCATTTAATCCAGAAATTGAAAGAACTGCGCATGCTCTCAGAAAAATAGTTAGACAAGAAATTCTGGTTGAAGTAGACCAGCCCGAAGTAGAGCCACCAACACTTTCTTCAGATTTTGAAGACGAGAATAACATGGCTGCCTCACCACTCCCAACTACGAGAGATTACTGTAAAAGGACTGACGACGATCAAGTTTCTAGAAGATTTGTACCGGCAGAACCTGCTAACTTTGATATTAATGATTGTGTACTTTCAGGGATTTGTAGGCTCATCTTGTACGCTTCTACGAAACTGCTTTGATGTGCAAGCCAGATAATGTTACAGAGGACCAAGTGAAGTTACAGTTATTTGGCTTCTCGCTTATTAGAAGGGCAAAAGATTGGTTGTTATGTCTTCCAAATGGAACCATTCGAACATGGAAGGAGCTAGAGGGTAGGTTTCTGTAAAGGTTTTTCACCACTACCCATTTTACCGAGAGAAGGGCTGAAATTTCAAATTTTGAGCAAAAGGATGCGGAGTCCTTGTATGACTCATGGGAGAGGTTCAAACTATTGGTGCGCAGATGCCCCAACCATAATCTTAATAATATGGAACAGATGCAAAGTTTCATTAAAGGCCTAAAGAGTCAGACACACATGTTGCTAGATGCTTCTGCGAGAGGCATAATTAGACAAATGACAGAGCCACAAGTCAAGGACCTTATTGAGAAGATATGCATGAGCGAGTACCGCACTAAGAATGAAAGATCGGTACAAGTTGAAACGGTAGATATACCCAAAGGTATGTTAAATGTTGATACTCACACTACATTATTAGTTCAAATTGAATTGTTGAATAACCAACTAGCTGAAAGCTGCTTAAATAAAGCTAATGCGAGTCAGGTACAAGCACCTAGATGTGACCTTCATTGAGGAGGACATGAAAACAAAAGGTATTTATTGGAAGGGTCAAGTGAATAGGTTCAATATGCTAATTTCCAAAAGAACAACCCTTGTTCCAATTTCTGTTAGAGCAACAACCGAAATCAAAGTGGTAACCAAGCTATGCAACAAAATCAACAAGCTTCCAATTTCCAGAGGAAGCCCTCATAGTTGGAAGAGACCTTGTAAAATTTTATGAAAGCCACTTAACTTAGATTGGAACAGGTGAATAAGAACCATGAGACCATGAGCAGAAACCATGATGCTTCCATAAAAAAATTGGAGACTCAAATTGGGCAATTGTTAAGAAAACTAGTGGCTTAACCTAGTTCAAGTGGAGGATTCTCAGGTAACACCATAGACAATCCTAATAATGAAACATGCAAAGTTGTGCAAACCGGCTTAGGGGTAGTCACTAAAGAGAATGAAGTTGGAAAAGTTAAAAAGAATGAAATTGAGAGAAAGAAAGGTGAAATTAAGATAAAGGAGAAAGAACCTCAAGGGGACCATGAAAAAGGAAAAGTTACACTTGAGCAATGCATAGATGAAAACTCTCATGCGAAGAGAACAAAGGAGCAAAACTTGAGTGAACCAAACCACCCTTTACCCGATTACATGAAACCACCTTACCCAATTATTAAGAAGAAATGGGTACCTGAAGATGATGCTAGGATGTTTGAAAATTTTGAAGAGATGTTGAAACAAATTCAGGTAAGTATCTATTTTCATGAAATTTTAGAATTAATTCCAAGGTTTGAAAAGTTTATGTAGGTATTGCTAAAAGGTGGAAAACATAAGTTGATTCACGAACAGGTCAGTGTGAAAGAGAAAGCTGAAATGGCAGAACCGTCAAAGATGCCACAAAAGATGAAGGATCAAGGGGAGTTCAACATTACATGTACCATTGTAGGGGTCAAAATCCCACGTGCTTTATATGATCTAGGATTGAGCGTCAATGTTATGCTGCTGAGCAAATTTAAAGAGATGAAGATATGAGAGATCATATCGAGCAACATGACACTTACTATGGCCCGTTCATCTAAAACTGAATCACTTGGTATTATACAAGATGTGTTAGTTCATGTCGATGGTTTTACCTTCCCCGCAGACTTTGTGGTGATTGACATGATAAATGATTCGGAAAGGTCTGTGATTTTTAGACGCCCATTCTTGGCAACCAGAAAAGCAAAGATTGATATAGAGACCGGGAATTGATTTTTAAGTTTAACAAGGATAATGTGGTGTTTAATACATATGAATGGACATTGCATGTGGAGTATCTGGAGACATGCTACATATTAGGAAAAAGAGGTGGTTGAGTTAACAAAAGAATGGGAAAATGAGTTTTTACTAGCGTGAGGGCATCCCTTGCATCTGACGTGTTTTGAGCATGACCCGCCAAGATAATGACGGAAAAGAAGCGTTGGATGGGAGATAACCCATCAATTTTGTTTTGTTTTGCAGAAGTTAATATTATTTTATTTCAAAACCATCACAAGATGGATTATCTACTAAAGAAGAACCTTGTCAGGAAGATCCATGTGTTCTTTTTATAAACTTGTGTGTGGTTGTTTTTTTTCTCTTCAGATTTACAAAGTTTAACTTTAGCATTGAACACATTATCCAAGAAAAAAACAAAAAGAAATGACTTGATCATTATGAAAGCGATTGATGACTTGAAGGCAAAGGAAGAGAAAAGAATCAATAGACTTATACTCAACCTTCAGATACCTCATATGGTAAGGTTTGGGCCTAAATATTTCCATTGTACATTTTTCTTTTCTTTTAGTGTATCCATGCATTATTCTTTTAGCTGATTTGATTTATTTCTGATTAAGTCATCAAGTTTGATCAATACGCACTGAGGCAATTCTTTTATATAACTCTGAGCCTTTGTGAACCACCCTTTAGTAGTAGGATTATCTTTTACTAAACACTTTAAGGCTAATCCTTTCTTTTGATGATGTAGCCTTCTTAAATTCTTAGCCATATTACTTGAAAGATCATTTCTTTCCACCCTCTATTTGGAGTTAGGTAGAAGTGTAGTTCTTCAAGTGTATGAAAAAGATTAAGTTTTGGGTTGCTCTTGGAAGTGAGTAAAGTTTTAAATTTGGGGTTGGGGTACTAGAGAATTTGATCTAAAATTTAAAAAATTGTCGAGAAAAAGAAGTTGGAAAATACACTTCTTCAAAAAAATGATGAATAAATGATAAAATAAAAAAGAATAACATCGTAAGAAGGATCACAAATCTCTAGTACCAACAAAAAGGTATGATAAATGGATGAGAACTAGGAACCTAACTCCAAAGGTTTAACCCTACTTTCCTAAATATATCATACCCTAACCTAAGTCGAGTTGTAACTGGAAAAGCGCTCTAATGTGTGTGTTATAATTTCTATGACTAACTTGATTAGAACATGATCAAGCTAAGTTTAATTGATTTTGCATGTTGATTGAGAGATCACCCTATTCATTGAGTGAGTTATAGTGAGCTGAGAGACAGGTCGAGTACTAGTCAGTGTTGAAGACGTTTTCTAAATTTTCCAAATGGAAGTTGGAAGCTAGAACATGGTCAGGTAAAATAAAAATTTAATTTGGTGGTGTTCGATTGTTATTGTGCGACTTGGTATCTATTGAAATGTACAATTACAAGCGAGTTGCTTGAGAACAAACAACGATTCAAGTTTAGAATTGTGATGACAGTCTGTCATTGCAACTAATTAGTCTAAAAATTAGGGGAAAACAAGCGAAATGTGAGCCAAAATGATAAAGGAATACCCAAGAATGAGTGAAAAATAGCCAAGTGTGGAAGAATGAGACTTAGTGAAAATTCTGGAGCAAAAAAGGTGATTTTTCACACAGTTGCTGAAATAATCATGCGCACCATCACGCACCATCGCGTGCGCAATAGAGGCGATAAAGATGCATCATGTGCGATGCTTATACAATGTGCACGATGGGTGCTTTTTCAAAGCTTTTTCTGACGTGTTCTGACCCGTTTTGACAATATTAAAATGGGATTTCCTTCTTTTTGATAAGGTTACGAAAATTGGAGGCTAAAGCACGAATTTGAGAGCACAAAAGGAAATTTTGAGAGTATTTGAAGTCATTGGAGACAATCTCTTCAGGGGACTTCTCATGTTATTTTTATCTATCGATTGTGATATTCCTTTCTAAATAATGTATAGCTAAGTTCTCTTAGGTTAGGTTGTGTAATAATGAACCTTATTCAAGAGGAGAATAAAAAATTTTACGTTACAAGAGGAGAATACAAAAAATTTACATTACAAGAGGAGAATACAAAAAAAAAATTTTATAAAAGGTAAATAAAAAATCACTCACATTACAGAAGATAAAATGTATATAGCCCTTATTTTAATATATAAAAAGATTTATAATTTAGTTCTTAATATATATAAATGAAAATATAATATTTATTTAAAATTCTGAAATGAATATTTTTTTCATGTAAAATAGTTAATTTCATTTTAATTAAATATTTTTTATATTAGACGAATGTAGTGGCATGTTTGTAGAATGTGTTTTATTCCTTTTATTTTAAAATATGAAATAGAATTCACCCATAATTATTTGTACAAATTATATGTGTAGTTTTGTTTCTATTTCTTTAGTTAAATGTTTAATTAGTAATCTAAAATTTTTGAAAGGTTTTAATTTGGGATTTTTGAAAAATATGTTGGAACGTTATTTGTGAAGATTTGGTAATGTGGATTCAAGAATTCCATTCTATTGGCCTTCTACTTAAAGCTATAAATTCTTCGTTATTGGCCTTAATTCCAAAATCTGACAATCCATAGAATTTAGACGAGTATAGACCATCAGTTTAATCGGGTGTATCTACAAAGTTATTTATAAGATTCTTGCTTCAAGATTGAGGAGGGTGATGGGTAAGTTGATTGTGTATTCTCGGACGACTTTCATACCGGGGAGGAAACTTCTTGGTGGTGTTGTGGTGCTTAACGAATTAATCGATCTTGCAAAAAGAAGGAAACATAGTTGCGTATTATTTAAAGCATATTTTTCTAAGGCTTATGATTGTGTTGATTGGTCATATCTAAGGAAAATGTTGGTGGTTATGGGATTTGGATCTAGTTGGCTAAAATGGATGGAAGGCGGAGTTTTCAAAAGCTTTATGTTTGTTCTCGTCAATGGGAGCCCCACTGAAGATTTTCAGGTTTACCGTGGGTTGAGACAAGGAGATCCCTTGTTTCTGTTTCCATTTGCGATTGTTGTTGAAGGCTTTGCTGCTATGGTTAGAGGGTTGTTGCAGTGGGACATATAAGGGATTTTAAAGTAGACAGTGGTGTATTGTATAGTCTTCTTCAGTTCGCCGATGATACGATTTTAATTAGTGATGGATCTTGGTCAAATTGGTGGGTGTTTAAAGCTATCTTGGAGGGGTTTGAAATAATATCTAGTTTGAAAAAAAATAATGGGAAAAGTTCATTATTTGGCATTGGTGTTGGTGATCTATTTATGAAGGCATCTGAGGCATTTTTTGCTCGCAAGGCGGGGTCGATTCCTTTCAAATTCTTGAGATTAACCGGCAGTGGTAATCGTAGAAGAATTTCCTTCTGGCAGCCTATTCTTGATTGTATGAAAGTTGGGTTATCTTTGTGGATTGGGAGGCTTTTGTCCATCGGGGGGAGTGTCACGCTTATCAACTCGGTCCTGTCTAATTTTCCTATTCATTACTTCTCATTCTTCATGGTGCCTCACAAAGTGTTGTACGAGTTGATCTCTATACAATGAAACTTCATTTAGCATCAGGATGGTGTTTCTTCGGGAGTCGCATGGGTTAGTTGGGATTCCATATGCAGGTCCAAAAAGGAGGGTGGTCTAGGTTTGAAAGATATAAGATTGTCCAATAAGGCTTTAGTTGCAAAGTGGTTGTGAAGGATCGTGAATGAGAAGAATGCAATTTGGGCTAATTTGTTACATGTTAATATGAGGGATTCACAAAAAGGATATTTTCTAAGGAAGCTTATTCGACAAATTCCTACAATTCGTTGTGCTGGAGGGACGTCATGACGTGCAATGAGGCTGAAGGCTAGGTGAATTTTGTCTTTGATTTCTCTTAGACTTCATGATGGTGGTAGAGTTTCGTTTTGGACTACGACCTGGTTGGGGTGTTCTACCCTTAAAGATTTGTTGCCATGTTTGTTCTAAGTTATTGATTTTTACCAAAGTTTGGTTTGCGAAATGGGGGCCTGGAATGGAAATATTTGGTCTTGGCAACTGGGCATAAATACTCATGCATTGTTACCACAAGTTGAGGCAGAATTTATGAAAATGAGTTTGTTATTACAGGATGTCTGCCCCATTTTGGACGGTTGCGGCGAGGTTATTTGGCCTTATGGTATTTTTCACTGATATTCGGTGAAGTCCTATTATGATTTCATGATTAGAATGATGGAGTATGCATTATGGACAACGAAAACAAAGGTGCTCTGCAGATTTTTGTGGAAAGTTTCAATCCCGTCCAAGGTAAAGATTTTGGTTGGCGATTAATTCTTGATAAGCGGCCCACGAGGATAAAATCGTGGAATTCTTTCTAATCAACACGATTTGGTATGTGTGTTTTATTACAGTACGGTTGAGGATGCTAATCATCTCTTTTTCTCTTGCCCTAGAATTATGATAGTGTGCAGAAAATTACAAATTTGATTGGGAACGGGGGCTTAATGTGTTAGTTGCTGCTGATCATTTCTTTGAATGACTAGATTTATTAAAGGGTAAGTGTTCCATTAAGATGGCTAGTGGGTTTTAGGCAGTAGCTTAGCATCTGATGGGGTATGAATCAAATTATTTTTAACAACGTTGTGGCCAACCCAGATGCGATGTGTTAAGAATTATGTATCTTTCTTAGCGGTGGTTGCTAATTCTTTCAAATCGTAGAAGTTTCTATAATTTTTATGATTGGTTTAAAAATCCTCTAGATTTTATTTAGCTTGGTGTATTGTGAAGAGGTTAATTTTTTGTATGGTGGGTTGGGATACCTCTGATACCCTATGATGAATGAATGTGTTGCTTATAAAAAAATAATCTAAAATTTTGAGTATTCACATCTTCAATGGAGACTATTTAATACATAGAAAAATTGTGTCTAAGTGATTAGTATTGACATATAAAAAATTGGGTATTGCTAATTTGGGTACATATTAAGAAATTCATAAATAAAAATCTATATTGGAACAAGTAGTAAAAAATTAAATTAGAAATTAACTTTTGATATAATCAATATATAATTTCTAAAAAAAATATTTTTACATTTAGGTTTTAACTTGTGTTTTGGAATACAAGTTAGCATTATCTTATAAAATATTATTATTTAATACTTAAATTTTTTATAATTGAATTTTATAAATTAAACAATAAAATATACAAATTTATAAAAGGATAAAAAATATTTAAGATCCCTCATATATATATATATATATATATATATATATATATATATATATATATATATATATATATATATATATATATATATATATATATATATATATATATATATATATATATATATATATATATATATATATATATTGGTAAAGAAATAGTTAACAGGCTTTAAAATGTAAAAGAAAAAAAAATATCTTACAAAGTAGGACAAATAAAAAGTCAAAGAGAGTTTTATATTTTAAGGAGAAATAATTATTCTTAGTTGCATCATTCATAATGCAATGCAATTTTATTTTATGATTATAATAAACAGAAAATGATAAAAATAATTTGCTAAAATATTATTCAATATTTTTCATTTATTTATATCTTTTTAATTGTTTGAATTGGTCAACAATTTAATTTTTTTAGAAAAAGAATAATTGAAACAAGTATTCACATTTATTTTATTTTTAGAATATCATTATTTTTTGTATATTTTGTCAAACATATTATATGAACACTTCATCCTCGACAAAGTTAGAACAAGCTCAACGAGCTCAAGGATCGAAAATTACACAATTAACCATGTAGGCTGGACCACCCTAATTAGATCTATAGCTCAAGCCATCCCCACTTATACCATGAGTTCCTTTCGAATATCTAAGCCCACTTGTAAGAAAATAGAAATAATTATAAGTAATTTTTGGTGGGATAGCAAGGAGAAAGATAGAAACATTCATTGAAAAATAATCTAAGTTGAGGTCAATTTTAAAATACGGTCTTTAAAATATTTATATTTATATATTTTCAAAATTAAATTATATATAACTTTGTTTTAATTAATCATATTTAATATTTTTTAGTTGATAATAGAATTATTATATTCAATTTTATTTGAAAAAAATTAATCTTACATAAATTTTTACTTATTTTAATTTAACTATTATTTATTCTTTTGATTTAGATTATTGATAATTATCTATTTTCACCTTAAGATCAAGTAAAGCTCGTCAATATATATTAAAAAAATTAATTTTAGATAAATTTTTACTTATTTTTAATTTAACTGTTATTTATTTTTTTGATTTTGACTATTTTTATTTAACTATTCTCACTTTAACTTTAGTAGCAGTTATTATTATTTATTTTTAATTAATTATTTTAAATAATTTTTCAAAAATTCAAATTAGAGTAAGCTTTGCATGTTAAAATATAATAAAAGCACATTTTAATTTGTTGAAAACACATTATGTTTGAAACAGTATAAGCATTGAATAAGAGGAATAGAAAACAAAATTTAAAAGATCAAGGTGGTGGTCTTGGTCGCCTACCCCTTGGGTCGGGCAATTTAAAAGATCAAGGTGGTGGTCTTGGTCGCCTACCCCTTGGGTCGGGCCTGAGTGGTATTTGTTTAATATCAATTAGATAATTTAATGAAGTCTTGCTTGTTAAATAAAGTTGATGAATACACTGAACCCTAACATTCTAATGGTATGAATTCTTAAAGCTAAATACTTTAGTGTGATTTCCTGCAAGCCATGTTAAGGCACAACCTAAACTATCTTTGGAGAAGTATCCACCATAGCAGATGAATCATCAAGAAAGATATTTGCTAGAATATAACATATTAGCAGAACAAAAAATTGTATCATCTATATAGACTTGGCATATTATTAAGTCGTTTCTCAAGTTCTTACAAAAGAAAGTTTAATATTTCATACCAAGCTTTGAGAGCTTGTTTAAGTCCATACAATGACTTCTTAAGTTTAAAAACATGTTTTGGAAACTTAGAGTTTTCAAGACTTGGAGGTTGGTGAACATATACTTCTTCAGAAATGTAACCAATTAAAAACGCATTGTTCACATCCATTTGATATAATTTAATATTATTATTAACAGCAAAAGAGATAACAAGGCGTATATATTCTAACCTGGCGACTGGAGCAAAGTTTCATTATAGTCAATTCCTTCTTGTTGACTGTAACCTTGTGTGACCAGTCATGCTTTATTTCTAACCACTTCTCCCTTCTCATTTAACTTGTTTCTGAATACCCATTTGGTTCCAATAACATGAATTTCCCTTGAGTTTAGGCACTAGATCCCAAACATCATTTTTGGAGAATTGATCTAGCTCTTCTTGCATAGCTAGAATCCATTCATTATCCTGAAGAGCTTCTTCACAAGATGTCGGTTCTATCAGAGATATCAATCCTAAAAGTACTTCTTCAGGATGTTTGAATGTAGATCTTGTTCTGATAGGTTCACCTTTGTCTCTTAGAATCAAATCTCCAGACACTGTTTGTCTAAGCCTTTGTCCTTTCTGTAGAAAAGGGTATTCAGTTGCTTCTGATGTGTCCGCATGTTTTAGATTTATGATCTCAGAGTCTTTTGTCCTTTCTCCATAACCTGTGAAGGTAACTTCTAGATCTGCAAAATTCTTAACTAGCTTTGACATATATAAGTCAAGCTTATCGTCAAATTTAACATAGATTGTTTCCTTAACAATACTTGTTTTTGTGTTGTATACTCTATAGCCCTTATAGGATTCAGAGTATCCTAACGTAATACACTTTTGTGCTTTAGAATCAAACTTATTTAAATTTTCTTTAGTATTTAAAATCAAACATGAACATCCAAAAGGATGAAAGTAAGAAATGTTAGGTTTTCTTCCTTTTCACAATTCATAAGGAGTCTTCTCCATAATGGGTCCCAAAGAGATCCTATTTTAGATATAGCATGTCGTGTTCACAGCTTCTGCCCGGAAGTACTTTGTCATATTTGTTTCGTTGATCATGGTTCTGGCCATTTTTGCAACGTTCTATTTTTTCTTTCTACGACTTCATTTTGTTATGGAGTTCTAGGACAAGAAAAATCATGAGATATACCATTAGA